AAGAGTAGTGAACATGCCAAGTCGATTCCGAATAAAGGTAAGTTATTTTTATTTTTATTGTTAAGTTTCTTACCATAACGTTATATTCGCAGTTCGCACTTACCTCGCGAGTCTTGACTGTCAGCCTTACTAGATAATTATGTCTTCTATGTAAGGGTATAATTATTGCTTTTATCATTTAGATTTGGAACATTCAGTTTTTATTTTTGAGATATAATTTTAGTTAGAATATTTTTGACTTGAAACCTTTGTTATCGATTAATAATTATATTTTGTTAGAATAAAGAGATAGCAAAGACTAATAAGTTTTATGTACATATTAACTTTCAATATGAATTGTGACGATCTTTTAACTTAGGCATTTCGAACACTTTTTCTTCTGGCTGTGAAGGATGTGAAATATTGGCCATAGCTTGTATCCGAAACCATAATTGTTGACGGTTGTCATGATGATTTAAAAGGGTGAAAAATAATAAAGACTTGAAAATTATACTGAAATGACTTTTATATCTTAAAACCATAGATGAATGATTGGTCTCGCTTCACTCGACTAGATACCGCGCTGTAAAAAACAACAGCTCCATAAATGCGGCAACTCATTATTGTAGTGTGTATATGTCAACTTGCAATGATGCTATCAAATCTCATAAATCGTGTAGCCAGCTGCTACCCACGTAATAGGGAAAATATTGTACGTTACAATTAATATGTATCAGGTTATAAATGTAGCTCATAAAATACTTGAAGAAGATGTACTTAATTAAATGCGAATATATGAATATTTTAATGTACTGATACGATTAAGCGTAGGTTTCTTCTTTAAAAAATGCTTAGGCCTCAATTTTTTTTACATGTAATATTTACTTGTAAATTATAACAGTGATTCAAGTGTGATAACTTGGTCACTATAAACGAGACATTATTGTAAGTCGGTAAGGAAAGGGAAGCTGAGTGTGTAATGATCAATGCACACGAGCTGCATACGACGTTTTTCAACACAATTGCGACGAAAAAACAAACTTGTAGTTAGTAACCGTTATTAAGTTCAACTGACCTTTGCAGCTTTGTTGCCAAGTATTTTGACATTACGGAGCTACCTTCAAAAACTTTTCAAAATCAGTTGGTGACAATACTTTTGACTTTCGACCAATATATCCATCAGAACGTCGCTTTAGAAATGTCATCATGTTACCAACCATCAACCAACTGGCGGCAACAGCCTATCACTCACGTTTCGTGCCTCGATAAGTATTTCCGGCGCGGTTGAATTAAAATTGCGCAAATATTATTTATTAATGCGCTCACAGGTTCAATAACGGCACTGGAATATTATTTAATAAAAATAGAACCTATTTCAAAAATACTGAAAATGTAAAATAAGATTAGCCGTGAAGTCGATCGTTATTATTATCATGATCTCCCTGCTAAACACATACCTTGGTATCGACTTTAAGTATATCAGGCGGTAAATCTATTGTTCTAAGTCGATTTTCCCATTTTTAGTGTTACACATAATACGCTACTAGTCGGAAATTGTACAAGCGTAGATCCACACGGGTAAAACCCTGAGACATTGCTAGTAAATTATATACTAAAACCTTCTCAGGAATGCGTATTTACTCATTAATATGCGCGAAAACCCTATTCAATTCGGATCCGTAGCTTTGAGATTATCGTGGTCAAACATGCATACATACTCGTACAGATCAAACTGAGAATATCCTTGTTTGAAGTCTGTTTCAAGACCGACTATGCAGCCGGAACAGCAACAATATAAAAATAGAATAAACTATAAGTATAAAAATGTTTCTTAATACGTTAGTTACGTTAATTTGTGTTTAAAAATACAAAATGAATTGTTTATTTGTCATCTTAACCCTAAAACAATTTAAATAATATGATGAAATTTAAAAAAAATACACAACAAGTATGTTTGTTAATATGCTGAATTGTGAAACTAAAAACTGTGTAAATAATAAGTGTCAGTGTGCACAGATTTATCTGCCACACGCTGTATAGAATTTGTGGATGTTAAGCACATTCATTTATTTTTATATCGTCAACTACAATATATATTCGTTTATACAATAATATAAACTTTTAATAAACAATTTTAATTTTGCTAGTTTGTTTCTTGATTGTTATTAAATTCATTTCTTTAAGTATTTAATAATGATTTGATGAAAAATGTATTTTTTTAAAACTGCCTTAGAGTTTTATTAAGCAAAGTTCTTACCTACTATGCGAGCAAATGGAGCAACAGTCACAATACGAATGCAATTAAAACAACAGCGAATATGTCATTTTATATATTCGTGAATCTTTTACATGAGTGTAATTTAAATTATTCTTTTATCAACATACAACAAATATTATAACACATACGTCATAGAGGACAGCTAATCGATTCCTTGTCCGCTTCCAAGTGAGCCCAAGCTTGTTGAGAAAAACTTATTTAGATCGGAACCAGCACTGGAGCAAATGAAATCGACCTGCAACTGTAATGCTTCTCCCAAACCCACGCGAAGAAGCTTCGGGTGGCTTTGGTACTAAATGGGCTTAAATTAGCATTCGAAACTTGAATTAGTTCTGCCGTAAAGAATAAGCGGGCGATAATTTGACACGCTAAAAGAGGTTGTGAAAAATGATTTTGTTAGTGCGGCTAAAGGAACGTACTTTATACAAAGTTCGAATGCAATTTTTTGCGCATTTTAGAACCAAAGCCACCGAAGCCGCTCCACGCAGGTGGGGAATAGGCATAATAATTATATGTTAAGGTTCTATAATTCGCTAAACAACACTACCTAAGCCCGTCACTACGATATGCTTCTTTCGTGCCCTCTATGGACTCATAAACATTGCTAGTTACAATACGTCTACGATTACATTTTCTAATCCTGTTAAAGATAGTCCATCCAACGATCTTATTTCGTTAAATTCCATTTTCAAATATTTTACGCAATTGCTTTCTTATATCTCAGCATTTTTTTACAAGAGTATTGGTTAATTCCAATTCTTTTCATATCTATAAATTTTAAGTATAGTATTTAATGGAATATGATCGTTACCATTTGATAACACGGGACTTTGTGTGCAAACTATGTAATTGATTTCGTCAAATTGACATTGCTGAATTACTTCAAAGACTTTATGTCCTCATACATCTTTATAAATTGGCTCAAATTATAAATTAGCAGCTTTGAATATTATGTATAACAGGAAAGTTCCGCAGGTACTTGTTCATTTATAAAGTTGATTACAATAACCGCATTAATTTGTATTTTGTTCATTTGGCGTCATAAGTTAGTTTTACATAAATTTTGTTATAATAATATATTTCTTTTAAATTTTATAATAATTTTACGTAATTTGGTATACTATAAGAAGCGACAAACAGACGTGTTGTGAGTTACTTTTGACGAGAATTTTCATTATTTGATGATATCTCATCACCAACACATTATATCTTAACTAATTCACCTAATAATTATTATCTAAAAAAATAATGTGCTCCTGTTTCAACAGAACTTGATATAAATTGTATTGTCTATGTCGTCTACAGATAAAAGATCTAGTGTTAGTGTCAGCCCATTAGGGAACAATTACACTTTACTCAATATTACGTACCGAGATGATGCATAGGAAATCAAATATTAGATAAACATTATCATAGTTTTAATTACCTTAAAGTATGTGATTAAATAAACACCTATAGTTAGATATTAACATAGCATAGTAGGTAACAAGAATAAAAACTGATTTATATGTAGGTAGATATAATACTATACAATTGTTTATTTATACACACGTGAACGTATTTACAAACATTCCAGCATACGACAATATCCGAATTTAGAACATTAAAATTCGCAGGCCAAGTTTATTCGAAGCATAGGTATCTCTACATTTAGGAATACACAGAAGGTAACACTGATTTATGCAACTTTAAAGTACATTTTTATATTATTTACGTTAACATTATAACAAAAGATAATGTAGATGATAAATGAGATCATCTAACTACTTTACATGAAAAGTAACGTATGTCAATAATAATAAAATGTTTGTTGATTCTGATAACACTCACTAGAACCATGAACTGCAATTTAGATCTCAATTTCATTTTTAAAAATGATATTTCTCTTCATTGCAAAAGTAAATGTTGGGCTACTTAGATCTTATTATTTCAGAGAGTCCATTTTCATAACACAAACTTTTACGTAAGTAATACTTTGGTATTACTTACGTAAAAGTAAAAAACACACGACTCTCAATTTTGCACACGATGTCACTAATAACCACTTACTTTAAAGGGGTAAATAGCAATCACTGCATAAGAACAGAAACAGTGTCCAACAGAATTGCATGACGATTCTTTCTTTTAATGAGAAGCCATAAAAGCATAATGAATGATGTATAACTCTAAAGATATACTGTGTTGCGCTATTCAATGGTTTACTTAGTTTGGGTTTAAAGTGGCTTGCTTTTGGTCCAAGGTTTGTTGAACTAATCGATAAAATGGATTCCGTTAGAGAAAACGCAATTGGTTTTCTATAAAAGTAAAAAAAGTAAAATAAATGATTGATTTAATATTCTTAGTTTCAGCAAAATCTGTATAATACAATAAAATGATACAACACTTCATATTTCATATTTTGTAAAACATCTATAGCGGAATTGACAGATTTCATAACACTTTTTCTGTATTTTTTATTTGTGATAAAAGGTTAACTAGCCTCAATAAATTAACTAGATTAAGTATTTTTCCGAGATAAAATACAACAGAGAAGTCCCTAATACACAAAATAATAAAATACATCAAAAGTATTATTGAAGCAATCACTTGCATAGGTGGATTAAAGTATCATCAGCAGAAACGTTACAATTAGAATTAATATCCACCATACAATTTTATTTAATATTTTACTATAAAAAAGTCGTTGTTAAACTTTAATAAAGGCTAGTAGATACTAGCACAAAATAAAATAAAGCGTATAAACAAAGTTATATATGGCGTAAATTAATAAAGTATTAACAACTATTACAAGTATCAGATCCCTACTCCAGCTCGCAATATACATAGATATAGCTAACTAACACCTATATAGAATCAGTAATACTAATACATAATATTCTTTTTAACGTTACACGAGTTAACAACGTTCAATTTCACCTCTTACCTTACTTTATGCTTGACATTATAACTATTAAAACAATCAATAATACTATAACGTTTGTTAATTGAAAAGACGAAGAAATAAAGCACAAATTTCTTTAAAATCTATCGCATTAAAAAAATGATAACATTAAACATTTGGGGTCTATTTTGTCTGTTTTACAGTAAACAGAAATCGTCGAATACATAGCAACGATTAAAAAAAATATATAGTGGACAGGCAACATGTAAATAATGTAAGTTAATAACAGAATACCTGTTATAGAAAAGTAAATTTTATTAACAGTTACAATTAGGGGTGCTGCTGCCTTGCGGTTGTTCGGTGAGTCGCTGCCCACGCGCTCCTCCTGCCAACATTGCTGGCTCTGAGTCCAGACTTTCCGACATTTTATCGCAAATAATATCGACGAGCCGCTCAAACACAGCCTGAAATTAATGTTTTCGAGTTAGAAAATATTTTGTTTTCTTTATGTAATATAACAAAATGTAATCGAGGCTCAAATTTTAACAGGTTGCGGTGCAGGAGAAACTAACTTTATTCCCAGAATTCCCATAATACCAAATAATTTTCCATTCCAATTTAAAAGAACGCAATTCCCAGTATCGGTGTGTTATGCAATGACAATAAATAAGGCTCAAGGCCAGACTTTACGTGTTGCTGGAGTAGATCTCGGTGTCAGTTGTTTTTCACATGGTCAGTTATATGTCGCTCTTTCCCGGGTTAGCAGTTCTAGAAATCTTTATGTTCACGTGCCGGACGGGTCAACTTTCAACGTAGTTTACCCGGAAGTTTTGCGCTGAAGTATTTTCATTCTATATGTACTTAAGCCTCATGTGAATGTGATCTAAACAATATTACCAATACATTAACATAATAACATACAAGGAGTTACACGCTGATGGTCTCGGGGCACAGTGATAATAATAATATTCTGCGGTTCCTTATTGCGATATTTTTAACAGTATTGTGGATTGACATATTATATTTCCCTACTAAAATACGAAAGTTAATCTGTCTGTCACATCAAAACCACGGAACCCTGAGGAAGGACATTATGCTACTTTTTTACGAAAAACGACGAAAACGCGGACGAAGTCGCGGGCAAATGCTAGTGTAATATAAAGCTTATGCCACACCTGTGTGACGAAACTTTGATACTAAAAGTAGCCTTTGAATTTTGAATTAAGTACGTTTCTTCACCCACATATTCATAATTTATCGTCTCCCACAACCTCTTTTTTGCGTGACACCGCCACTCAAGCTATCGTCAAGCGTCTAGACACGCAGCCCCGATAATAAAGAACGCTAATTTCAACGCATTTAGTACCAAAGCCACCCAAAGTTGCGTCACGCAGATGTGGAAGAAGCGTGAGAAACAATACATATCAATAAAGTAATCGATGTAACGAAACTAAAGGCGACTTTTTCTGACTGACTTTTTCTGACCAGTAACATATCAGATGGTGAATTGTTTGCTTCGGACTACATATAGTGCGCAAAGACATTACAGGCGATGCTGGGGGGGCGGTATGTTGGATCTCTTATTGAGCAATTTCGTCCTTAAGAAAATCGTAGTGTCCATAGTACCCATCGATGAGCATCACCCTCCACTTGAGGTAACGATCAAGTTTTATTATGGCGTGCCTGCATGGTAACCGTTCTCTCCACTGCCTAGCCAGCACCTGGGTACTAATCCAAACTGGATCTGGCGTAAGGCAAAATTCCAGGGTCATTATACGGCATCAGAAAATCTGGATTGGTCTGAAATATTTGTTATAACGAACATTGACGCGTCAGTGGCTTCATTTTGCGAACGTTCGTTCGTTCCTGGTTGTAGTATTGCATTGTTTAATGTAGTTCCCCAAGAGCTAATTGAGGTTCCACTGACCAAATTTAAATCTCAGATCAAGATTACTCTTACGAATAAGGGCTATTGTAAACTTTATGATTATGGAAATGATCGTAATGCATGGACATAGTGTTTCTTGTAATTTGTCGAGTATTAGTCATTTTTCATAACTGTAATATTGTACCTATCCAATGCCGCTTCCTATATAGATACTAAATATAATGTTAACTATGTGTATAAAATTTATTGTAACTATATATTTATATTCTAAATGATGTAATGGAAGGTGACTTCAGACGTATCTCAGAAGTTATTTTTCAACTTGACGACGCTGTATATAACAATACAGGGAGAAAAAAACAGCCCTTGCTGAGTTTCTTGCCGGTTCTTCTCAGTACAAGGTCTCCTGCCGTAGTTTTTCGAACCGATGGCGTAGCTTCTTGAGCTTCACAAGTGCTTGTAACAGCCTAGACTGAATAAATGACTTTTCATTTCATTTCATTTCAGAGTCCCCTTTGTTTACATAATATATATCTTGTCGCTGTCTCGAAGTACCCAGATAATTGGAAAGTTTCTAGAGACACTCCAGTTCCCAAGACTGACAGTAGTAATGACGTGTCAACTTTTAGACCGATTGCAGCCTTATTGGCCTTTGCAAAATGATCTGAGATTATGTTATGCCAGCAAATGAATATGCAAACTACAAATCCTTTACATGAAATTCAGCATGGGAGTTTAGAATAGGTCGTTCTACCACTACTAATCTTGTGGCACACTTGGATTTTATTTATGCAGAGTTAGATGGTGGCAGGTAGGTTGACGCCGCCTACTTTGACTTTAAGGGAGCATTTGACCTGGTAGACAACGACATTTTGTTGCGTTAGTTGGCAGTGATGGGGCTTTACGCCTAAACTAGTTGATTTCTTTTCAAATTACCTGCGTCATCCACGGCAATGTTTTTGATTTGGTGGATTTGAGTGTGATGAATATTACATGAGGTCTGGAGTAATCCAGAGCAGTACGATAAGACCATTGTTTTTTATTTACTTCATTAATGACCTGCGCTATATCATTCAAAGTTCCAAATGTTTATTGTTTGCAGATGATTCAAATTAAGTCTTGGCATAGATAACTATATTATATATTATGAGGAGAAATATATAGTAACAATAGAAAGTCTGCAGCTCAAATTTGCACGTTAGATCTTTCAGAAGAAATACGGTTATTACCCATATACATATATATCCATTTTTAATTGTGTCTGGAAATCAGAAGGGTTTGCAGTCGGTAATACATTATGTGTTAATAATACGAAACAAGATAGACAGCCCCATTATTATTAGCAAGGTAGGGTTATTGGCTCCCAAGAGCTGGCTTGGGATGTGGAGGAGACAGTGTTGCCACGAAGGCGGCCGCGACTTTTGTGGTGGCCTCCGGCGCGCACCAGGTACACCGCGCAAGCACCAACCACCCGTGGTTTACGCCTTAATGGAGCTATGCTTGCTCACGACTTCGAGATTGGCAAATTTGATGACGCCCTTTGGCAATTACATGGAAAAGCAGTGTTTTATTTGTCAAACCTAACCAAATGACTTTAGAAATACACACATCAAAAGTGTCTAGGGATCAAGCATTTTTATGCGGATTTCTTGAGATTGAGATGTGGCTTTGTAATAAATTTATGATTTTATAAATTTATATGGATCCTTTTTGGTGCATTTCATAATTTGAATCAGGAACTGTGAATCAAATTCGAGTAAAAGATGAAAATCAGCTGTCAATATTTTCCCTATAAAAACATACAACGCATTGAAGACATTATTAGTGCTACTGTTTCCCTACTACTGATTAAAACCAACGTTATTATGGAGCGGCGACGTCATTTAAGCAGGGAAGAAATGCTCAGAGCCGTGGGAATGATAGAAGCTGGTTCCCGGCAACGTACTGTGGCTTTAGCTCTGAATACAAGTCAGAGTGTTATCAGTCGACTTTGGACACGATACCGAAGCACTGGTACCGTGGCTGAGCGCCATGGAGGACGGTATCGCTGCACCACACGGAGACAAGACCGATACATTCAAATCTTAACTCGAAGAGCTCCAACAATAACCGCCATGATGTTAGCCGTGAGGCTTCATCACTCTTCAGGGAACTTAATTAGCGACCAAACAGTCAGAAACCGCTTGCATGAAGTGAACCTTCATTCCCGAAGACCGCTACGGGTACCACCTATAGCAATGCACAATCGTAGGATTCGATATCAATGGGCTCTTGAACACAGAAATTGGGCAGAAGAACAATGGCGTTTCGTGTGCTTTTCTGATGAGTCTCGTTTTGGTATGAGACCGGATACAAGACGTATACGACACTGGAGAACCCCTGGACGCCAACAGCGATTAAAATCCTGCCAGGAAGTCCATCCTTATAGTGGTGGAACCATCATGGTATGGGCGGGTATTTGGATCGGCGGAAGAACTGAGTTGATTTGGATCAGAGGCAACCTCAACGCTCAAATTTATGCTGAGACGATTGTATCAGACGTCATCGTTCCTCTACAAGTGCAAATCGGTCCCTTATTTCAGTTAATGCATGATAATGCACGACCGCACACCGCAAGAGTTGTAAGACAGACTCTCGCCGCAGCTAACATCAATGTCCTGCCCTGGCCTGCTCAGTCGCCAGACTTGAACCCGATTGAGCATGCATGGGATATGCTACAGAGAAGAGCTCTGCCGAATATGGAGGGTATCCAGTCGCAAGAAGACCTTTTTTTGTTGTTGCAACGAACATGGGCGGCCATTCCACAGCGTGATTTGGATGAACTCATTTTGAGTATGCCAAACCGATGTTCTTGTGTTGTTAGTGTTCGCGGTAGAAATACGGATTATTAATTGTTTAAGTTACCCAATAAAATTTTAGAGAAAACTGTTATTTCAGTCTTTTTTTCGAACTTTTGTGTTAGTGGTTCAAATGTCAAAAATCCCTTTATTAGGAAAATGGCAAATTTCTTTATTAATGCAAAGGTGACTTGGTTTATCGTTACTGTGACAAACGAAAACACTTTATTTGATGAATCCTTAAAGAAAATTTTAATTAATATCAATCAGGAGAAAAGTTATTGCAAAAATATATGTTGATCCCTAGACACTTTTGATGTGTGTAATTCGACTTCAATTGTGTCATTAATCAAAATTTAATTGACATTTTTATTGTTTATAATAATTTTCTATAATCGTTTTGACATTTGTAACTGAATATAATATTTTTGACACTATTTCTTGATAAATTGTATTATTTGAATGTATTATTATTTTTACTTATTTTAATTAACGTATTTCATTCGATCACTATTTATTATAATTGATTTCGATATGCTATTTTCTTTAACAATTATTATAAATTACTTTTTGGGCGGTAGGTGTGAAAGTGTCAACATGGAAATTTATCAGCTGCTAATTTTATTTACTTTAAAAATAGTTAAATCTTTTATGTGTAATAACTAACCTCATCAGTGCCTAGGTTGAGTTCTCCCACTGCTTCACACACATAATCCAAATCAAAATAACATGGGTTCTA